CCTGCTCCTCGTCCTCCTCCCCCCTCCCTCCTTGCGATGTTCACCCTCAAACCTTGCATACATTCTTTGTTTCTGGCGCAGTCGCACAACACGTTGCATTGCACTGCGTTCCTCTTCCTCCTTCAGCCCCCCTCGTCCCCCTACTCGTTCGTCCTCCACCTCTCCTCCTCGCTCGCCCCCGTCCACCTTCTTTCCGGTCCTCGCACCTCCCGCTCCTCCCTCCACCTCCTCCTCCTCGCCCTCCTCGCTTGCCCTCCCACGCCTCCCACCCTCCTGTCCTCCCTCCTCCCCTTTTCCCTCGTCCTTGCTCCCCCTGGCTCCTGCCTCTTCTCGCCAGTCTGCCCTCTCTGCCTCCTGCCTCCTCCCTCCTCCCTCCCCCCTCCCTCCTCCTTCCTCCTCCTCCTTCTTATCTCCCTCCTCCTGCTCCCTCCTCTCCCATCTGCCCTCCCTCCCCTCCCCCTCGTCCCTCCACTCGGCACGCGGTCAAGCCTGCGGGGCGGGCATCGACACTACTTCACACTCTACTCGCCACGTGGCCTCGCCTGGAGGCGATACATGTATACATATATAAACATACACATATAAACATACACATATGTATATATACATGCATACGTATATATATATATATATATATACGTGTATATATGTATATATACGTGTATATATGTGTATATATACGTGTGTGTATGTATATATATATATATATAAATGTATATATGCTTGCCCCCCCCCCCCAGCACCCCCAGACGACGGACTGGGGAGGGGGGGGTGCATCCTCCTCATCTTCGTCGTCCTTCTCATCGTCCTCCTCTCCTCATCCTGATCTCCTTATCTCCTTATCTTATCTCCTCCTCCTCCTCCTGCTCCTCACCCTCTGCTTCTCTCGTAGGGTGCACGTCCCCTGGAAGAGCTCCAAGCGCGACGGCGCTCTCCTTGAGGGAGTTCAGCGTTGCTGGGCGACCTAGAATCAGTGAGAATCAACCGCGCCTTCTGCGGTGCAAGGGGCATCCGTTTTTTGGATGCCCCCGTGGAAACCCATGAGGGCGCCCAGCAGGGGACCCAGCAGGGGACCCAGCAGGGGACCCGGGAGGGGACCCAGGAGGGGACCCAGGAGGGGACCACGCAGGGGACCCAGGAGGGGACGTCCTTTTCTCCTCATCCTGACATCAAGAGCCGCAGGCAGGGTGAGAAAGCCGCGCTTGACCTCTTGGTCGCGGAGTTCTCGAGTGAGATTCCAGGCGAGGGTGCTGCCAGCCATGGCTCAGGCCGCTGAGCTTGAACAGAAGGCCTTCGAGCGAGGGCGGCGCTGCCGCTTTTGGCTCGGGCACTCATGGGGCGCGCGCCGCCGCGGTGGCGCGCGCCCCTGTGCCCCAGATGATCCGCTAGCCCGCTGCGTCGCACCTCGCAGACCTATTATCGAGCACGGATTCATGCGCGTGTCATGCTGTTTCATGGCGAACAATTGTTGCGTAGTCGTCGTCGTGAAAGCACATCGAAGGGAGTCTATTGGATCCTCCTTTCCTTTCTTCTTCCTTGTTGCAAAGCAAGAAAACCAAACATACATAGTGTTTGGTGCCCCCGGTGCAAGGAAACGCTGTGTTTTCTTGGTTTGAGAAGCAAGGAAACGCTGTGTTTTTTTATTAAATATATTTTGTGGTTTTGTAAGCCCCTTTCTTTTCCTCTTCCCTGTTGCAAAACAAGAAAACCAAACATACACAGTGTGTGGCGCCCTCGGTGCAAGGATACGCTTTTTTTGTTGTTTTATTAGTTTATATATATATATATAGTTTTTTGGTTTGAGAATCAAGGAAACCTTGTGTATTTTTTGTTTTTTTGTTTTTTTTTGGTTTTGGAAGCCCCGACGCTCGCACCAGCCTCCCTCCCAGCACCCTTAGAGCTTGCAAAAAAAACAAAAAAACACAAGGTTTCCTTGATACTCAAACAAAAAAAACAGCGTTTCCTTGCACCGAGGGCGCCAAACACTGTGTATGTTTGGTTTTCTTGGTCTGAGGCGCATGAAAGGGTCCTGAGAGAGAGGCCAGCGCGGACATTCGGGCTTGCAACAAAAAACACAGGTCTTCCTTGCTTCTCAGACCAAACAAAACCAACAAAAAAAAAATCCTTGCACCGACGGCGCCATACACAATGCATTTTAGGTTTCCTTGGCTTGGGAGACGCAGGGAAGGAGGAGGAGGAGGAGGAGGAGGAGGAGGAGGAGGAGAAGGAGGAGGAGGAGGAGGGGGAGGAGAAGGAGGGGGAGGAGGAGGAGGAGGAGGAGGAGGAGGAGGAGGGGAGGAGGAGGAGAGCGACGAGGAGAAACGATCAGTGAAGATTTTGTGGTTTTGGTGGTTTGGGGGTGCTGGGGGGGGGGGGCGACCATATATATATATATATATATATATATATATATATATATGCTCCACTCTCCTCGCGACGCAGCGGCGGCGCCCGCGGGGCGGAACACAGCGCCGGGGGAGCGACACAAAGACTGCTCCAATCGCCCCGCCGCGTGTGAACGCTCGGAAGGGGGAAACACAAGTCCACTGCACTCGCCGCGTTAGCAGCGCCCGCGGAGCCCACGCCCGCGTGCCCGCGCGCCCGCCATCGCGCGCGCGCGCGTGCCCGCCGCCCGCCCACCCCCTGCCCGCCCGCCCGCGCGCCCGCCCGCCCGCGCGCCCGCCCGCCTGCCCGCCCGCCCGCCCGCGCGCGCTCTCGCCCGCCCGCCCGCGCGCGCGCCCGCTCGCGCGCGCCAAGCGGCAACGCGAAGGAAGCGAAACAAATACTGCTCCACTCTCCTCGCCACGTGGCAGCGCGCGGAAGGGGGGAACGCATGCTGCTACACTGCACCCGCCTCGTGGCAGCGTCTGCGGGGTTGCTCCACTCTGCTCGGCACGTAGCAGCGAAGCATGGAACCACATGCGACTCCACTCTACTCTCCATATGGCAACGCTACATGGCAAGGCCTGAGAGGCAAACAACTATACCATCCCACTCCAGTCGCCTCGTGGCAATGACATGGGGAACGAACAAAAAGTACACCTCCGCTCTACTCATTACGTGGCAATGCCGCGCGGACCGAACATCTATAATTCGCATGCTACTCGCCGCGTAGCAACGCCTGGGAGGCGAGCACATATGTTCCATTCGACTCACCACGTGACAACGCTGCAGACCAGGAACACAGACACCGCCACTCCATTCGCAACAAGGCAACGACAGGGCAACAAACAATGAAGAAGACCTCAAACCAACCGCCAACATCGCAGAAACCACAAACGGACCACGCTGAGGTACCCGATGGAAAAAACACTCGCCGGCGCGCTACCCAGAACCCGATAAGCCCAAGAAATCCACGTGTTGACTTTTTACCGCCCTACTACCCTCTCCGTTGCCTTCGTAGGTTTCATACCTCTGACTGCATTGTCCTACCTCATCCTACGTCCACAAGCCTCGTCCAGCTGCACCCAGGCTCGTCCTACCTCCTCGTCCCTGCTACCATATCCTGCCCCCTCCCACTCCTGCGACCTCCTCCTGCCGCCAACCACCTCGCCCTGCCTCCTTCGAGATCCCCTCATCAGCTTTTCTAGGTGGGCCCCTCCCAGCTTGTCGGATCTCGCCCCTCCTGGAGTTTCGGGTTTGGGTCTCCGGCGTTTTCGGGTTTCGCCCCTGCCGGGATTTTGGGTTTGGCCCTGCCAATTTCGGGTTTCGGGGGAATTTCCGGGTTCAACCTTCTTCCCCTCGTCGCCGCCCGTAACTGGGCCTGAGTGTCGGTCTGGAAGCTATGTTGACGTCGTCGCCGTTCCGTCGCCGCGCGTGACTGGGCCTGTCTGTCGGTCTGGCGGCCGTGTTGTCGACATCTCCGCACCGTCGCCGCCTCGTCGCTGCCTCGCAGAAGCACGCCACATAGATTGGGCCACTTGCACCATGTAGATTGCATCACACATATTGCACCACATAGATTCCGCAACATAGACTGCACAACACAGATCGCAATCTCTGACTGCACAACACAAATCGCACCACACAGATCGCACAACAAATATTGCACCGTAGAGATGGCATCTCATAACATGAACCACATCGATTGTTGAACCTGTATCGCAAACACACATACTGCATGACATATAGATTGCGCCGTACTCCGCGGGAAGCGCGGGCAAGCCAGAACACTCACAGAACGTAAGAAGCCTGATCGAACCTGTGTCGTGACGGGAGCGATGCAGCAACGCGAATCACCTTCGCACCGGCGCCTGAAGGAACAATTGCAATACTCGCCATCGCTCGGACGTATTCCCTGTGCTTTTTTCGGTTTCGTGCGTGGTTTTTTCGCCAAATGATCAAGGATGCTCCTCGATGGTCCTCGCCGAGGAAAAAATGCACACGTCCGAGCGACGCCAAGCCAATGAGCAACTGCAGAAACGTAGACGTTCGGAGGTGCGCACGGGCTTCTCGGCTCGGCGCTGGAGCTCCCTGCCATGGAGTGCGAAGCGCCCTCGTGGACGGCCCCGGCGGCGCCGCCAAGGGTGCCCGAGGCAGGTCCGAGAACTCCGCGCGGAGTTCCGACAAGCTGTCTTTGTGTATTTGGTGCTGCCGAGAACATAAACAGGGAACCCACAAAGGACGTACGCGCCCAGCTATGTACATGAACACGGCCCCTCGATCCGCGAGACTTGCCGCGTTGTACGAACATTTGCGCAAGGCGTACTCTCGAAACCAGCGTGGATTCATGTACGTCTACGTCCTTCTTTAAATTTCGCTCATGAATAAATGCAGTCGAGCCGCTGAAACAAGAGACGGTAATCAAGGAGCGAAGCTTTTTGGCCCCAAGAGCGCCAGCGTACACGAGGATGCCCAAAGGAACAGCCACCGAATAACCAAAGGGACATCGAGCCTCTTCCGTGCCCAAACTGTTCCTTATTCCCGCGTCTTGGCAATATCGAAACTGTGCCAACGACTGGACCAGAACTGCTGCCGTGTCGCCCCCACCCCTAAGGCTCCTTGGACGCCCGAGCCTCTCTTGTAGGCTGCGGGGCGGCAGGCTTCGGCTTGGCAAGCTCCTCCGAAAGCACCTGCTGAGAGCGCAGGGGGGGGACAAACGCTTCTTCATTGTGTCTTGGCGGCGCGCAGAAAGGGGGGTAGGAGGAAGGGGGGAGGCTCCTTAGAAGGAGGCTGCTTCGTAGAAGCCGCCGGCTTTGCATCTACAGGTAAGGCCCGCGCCTTCTGATAAGCAAGGGTGTTTCCAAGAAGCCCTCCCCCTCCCGATACCCCCGTCTGCGCGTGGCCGATGTACACTGTGTCGCACCAGCACGGCGAATCAAACGCGTTCGAAGATAGTGCACTTATATTTCCCAGCCATCCTGTGGTGTTGGGTCCTCGTTTTGAAGAGACGGTCCCCGCATTCCTCTCCTCTTTTCTTCCTCCTCACCCTCCCTCCCCCCCTCCTCCCTCCTCCCTGCACTTCACCGACCCAGTACAGCGCTTCGTGGCCCCATAGGGAGCTCCACCGAAGGTCCCAGTGGCACCGCCCGCATGCGTCCGCCACCACCCAGCACAGCCCTTGCCCCCTGCGTTTCACCCACCCAGCACAACGTTTCGTGGCCCCATGGGGAGCTCCACGGAAGGTCCCAGCGGCACCGCCCGCATGCGTCCGCCACCACCCAATACAGCCATTGTTCCCTGTGTTTCGCCCACCCAATACAGCGCTTCGTGGCCCCATAAAGAGCTCCATCAAAGGTCCCAGTGGCACCGCCCGCATGCGTCTGCCACCACCCACAGCCCTTCCCCCCCGCGTTTCGCCCACCCACTACAGTTCTTCGTGGCCCCAGAAAGAGCTCCACCGAAGGTCCCAGTGGCACCGCCCGCATGCGTCCGCCACCACCCAGTACAGCCCTTGCTCCCTGCGTTTCACCCGCCCCGTACAGCGTTTCGTGGCCCCATAAAAGGGGTTCCACCGAAGGTCCCAGTGACAACGCCCGCATGCGTCCGCCACCACCCAGTACAGCCATTGCTCTCTTCGTTTCGCCCACCCAAACAGCGCTTCGTGGTCCCATAGGGAGCTCCACCGAAGGACCCCGAAGGTCCCAGTGGCACCGCCCGTATGCGTCCGCCACCACCCAGCACAGCCCTTGCCCCCTGCGTTTCACCCACCCAATACAACGCTTCGTGGTCCCCTAGGGGGCTCCACCGAAGGTCCCGACGGCACCGCCCGCATGCGTCCGCCACCACCCAGCACAGCCCTTGCTCCCTGCGATTCACCAGCCCCGTACAGCGCTTCGTGGCCCCATAGGGAGCTCCACCGAAGGTCCCAGTGGCACCGCCCGCATGCGTCCGCCACCACCCAGTACAGCCATTGCTCCCTGCGTTTCACCCACCCAGCACAGCGCTTCGTGGCCCCATATGGGGCTCCATCGAAAGTCCCAGTGGCACCGCCCGCATGCGTCCGCCACCACCCAGTACCGCCGGACGATGACTGGTGGCTGGAGCTCTATGTGCTGCTCTCGCGCGCCACGCGCCACGAGGACCTCCTGCTCATGCTGGCGCCGCGCATCGAGTTCTTCCTGGCAGGGCCGCCGGAGGGCTTGCGGAAGCAGCTGGAACAGTTTGCGGCGCGCACGAAGCGGCGCAGGAGGGAGGCGACGGCCCTCGCCAGGGAGCTCGGCTTCACCGAATTTATCCACGAGGCCTGACCTGAGGAGCGCCCCCCCCGAGCCGCGCCTTCTCTCGACTGCCCAACTACTTGTTTGGCCTCGCGCCGCGGACCCGCGCGCGTCGATGGGACCCTCCCGGGGCGACCAGCGCGCGTCGCGGGAACTCCGTGCTGCGTTCTTCCCTGCGCCTCGCTCGCCCGTCGTCGCTCTGCCCAGCGGTCAGAGCCTTGCCCGCTATCAGCCAGCCAGCTAGCAAGCTAGATAACTAGCTCTTTGCTCCGTGCAGCGGACGACCCGCGCGCGTCGCTGGGACCCTTCCAGGGCGACCGGCGCGCGTCGCGGGGATTCCGCGCCGCGCTGCGCCCGCAGCTTTGGCGTTTGGAGTGCGCGGGCAGAGAGGGAGGAACAAGAAGGGAAGGAAGCGGGCGCGATCCTCGTGAGGGGCGTGCCGACATGGGCGTCGCGGCGTGCGGGCGCTGCCGCCAGGGTTCCCGCGGAAGCTTTTTGCGGCGGCCACGCTCAGTGTCACGAGTGCACACGAGGCGTAGCCATGATCGCATTCGTGCAAATATATTCGCTCGCGCGCAGACTCATTCACACTTAAACTCACTCGCGCTCAAATTCACCAGCGCCCAACCTCTCGTAATTAAACCAATCGTTTTCCATCGAGTTGTGTACCCCGCCACATTTCGGCACGCCCCTCATACGGTTCGTGGACACCACCGAAGAAGATACCCACAATTGCGGTACTCACAATTGCATATGGTAGGGTCTTTCGCCAGAATAATTTGCAGGGCTCACGGCAGATAGATTGACCAAGCGCATTGGTACGCTCATGGCGATGCACGAGTACCGCTACGCACGCAACACTGTATTTTGACCGCAGCCTGTTGCGCTGGCATCCCAGCAGTGCAATGTTGCTTTCAGTACGACTGAAAGTTATACTGACGGAGTGAGGACACAACGAAGCCAGTCAGCCAATCGACATAGCGGGAGGGTTGGCCGTGCAGCACACAACATTTAGAGTGCACCTCATGACCGCGGGTGCTGCATACTGTCAGGCAGAGAAGACACAATTCATCAGCAGGCAGACAGAGAATGCAACGGCAGGCAGTGAAGACACAATTCGTCAGGCGCGCACGTGAAAGCACAGGCAGACATTTGAACGAGAACGCGCCAAGCATCTCAACACATAACATTGAAACGTACCCATCGCTCCGATGACGGTGGCCGAATCATGAAGTAGGAAGGCGATGAAATTAGGTTAGCCTTCCGCCCGCCATCTGAAGAGGCAGGAAGGGGGAACTTGCCCTGGCGAGAGAGCACACCCACAGTACGAACGTGGAAATGGCCCACAAGATCGCTCAATAGAGAATATCTCGTTAGGGGCTCCGCAGTGCCCCTGACAACTTCGCCTCATACCGTCGGAGCATGCTCGGCACGCACTCACGCGACGCACACTTCACTCGGGAAGTTAACCATGCACGGAGCGCGGAGCACGAGGGCAAGGGCCAGAGAAATCAGATCTATCCGTGAGAAGGGGTTGTGCCAGAGCACGCACGGTTACGCATGCGAGCTCTGTCACTGTGGCCTTCCCTACGGGAGCACGAAACGTGTAAGGTGTGTGCCAACATGGACCCAGGCACGCATGCGAAACCTGCCACCGGGGCCTTCGGTGCAGCTCCTTGTGGGGCCATGAAACATGTGGTGTGTGTGTGTGTGCTAAAAATGATGCGGGTACGGATGCGAACCCTGCCACTGGGGCCTTCGGTGGAGCTCCCGATGGGGCCACGAAACGTGTGAGGGATCTGCCGGCATGGACCCGGGTACGCATGCGAACCCTGCCACTGGGGCCCTCGGTGGGGCCCCCTATGGAGCCACGGAACGTGTGAGGGGTCTGCCGAGATGGGGCGCGTACCCATGTGAACCCTGCCACTGGGGCCCTCGGTGGAGCCTCCCATGAAGCCACGAAACGTGTGAGGGGGTCGGCCGACATGGGGCGGGTACACAAATGAACCCTGCCACCAGGGCCCTCGGTGGATCCCCGTTGTGAAGCCACGAAGCTATGAAGGGTGTCGCCATGGGGCGGGTATACATGTGAACCCCGCCACTGCGGCCCTCGGTCGAGTCTCCTATGGGGCCACGAAACGTGTGAGGAGAATGCCGACATGTGAAAAAGGCACATGAGAAGAGGAGGAGGAGGCCTCCTGCACTGCTAGAGCCGTCGCTGGGGCCGTCGGTGGAGCTCCCTTGGGGGGTACGAACTGTGTGAGGGGTGTGACGAACATGTGATGATAATGAGGGTGGTGATCGATATCAAGATTACGTAGCACCCCCCGCAATTGCGGATAAGAGTGAGGGGGCAGGCGCGGGCGACGCGGGCGTCGAGCCGGCGGACCTCGTGGCCCTCACCTTCCCTGTCGATGGCGCCTTCCTCCTCCTGCTCCTCCTCCTCCTCCTCCTGCTCCTCCTCCTGCTGCTCCTCCTCCTGCTCCTACTCCTGCTCCTCCTTCTGCTCCTCCTCCTCCTCCTCCTCCTCCTCCTCCTCTTCCTCGTCCGTGTCCTCGTCCTCATCGTCGTCGTCGTCGTCGTCGACCGCCTCCTCCGTTCTTGGCTTGTTCAGTGAACGTAGTTTGGGTCGCGGGTGGGTCGCGGGCTACGAATACAGCTTGCCGCAGGCGCCGAAAATTCAGATTTGTACTCTGAACGCGGTTTGGGTCGAGGGTGGGTCGCAGGTTCTCCGCCTGGGACGAATGCAAAAGAAGCCCGCCGCAGGCGCCGAAAAATAGTGGGTGGGTCGCGGGGTGAGTCTCGGGTGGGTCGCGGGGGTGTGTCGCGGGTGGGTCGCGGGTGGGTCGGTCGCGGGGTGGGTCGCGGGGCGGGTTGCGGGGTGGGTCGCGGGTGGGTCGCGGGTGGGTCGCGGGGTGGGTCGCGGGTGGGTCGCGGGGTGGGTCGCGGGCGGGTCGCAAAAAAGGGCCGCGGGTGGGTCACGGGTGGGTCGCGGGGTGGGTCGCCGGGTGGGTCGCGGGTGGGTCGCGGGGTGGATGGCGGGTGGGTCGCGGGGTGGGTCGCGGGTGGGTCGCGGGTGGGTCGCGGGGTGGGTCGCGGGGTGGGTCGCGAGGCGGGTCGCGGGTGGGACGACGACAGCAACAACCAACAAACAACAAACAACAAGCAACAAGCATCAATCAACAAACAACAAACAACAAACAACAAACAACAAACAACACACAACAAACAACAATCACCACCAACAACAACAATAACAGCAACAACAACAGCAACAACAACGGCAACAACAACAACAACAACAATACCAACACCAACACCACCAACAACAACAACAACAAGAATCCGCATCGCGGAATTCCATTTCAGCCACGCACCCAGGGACAGTGAATGACCGTTCGGTTCAGCCCCCTCACTCTGAGGAGGAGGACGACCAGGAGGAGAAGGAGGAGGACGACGAGGAGTAAGAGGAGAAGGAGATAGAGATGGAGGAGGAGGAGACGCGCGGCGCCGCGAATGCAAAACGAGGATCCAACTCCACAGGAGGATTGGGAAACACTTGATACTTAGAAGAGGAAGCCTCCTAGAATACACATATATATATAATATATACGTAGCACCTCGCAGTTGCGGATAAGAGTAAGGGGGCGGCGGGGACGTCTGCAGTCTGCGAGGCTCTGAAGAAGCCCGCCGCAGGCGCAACGTTTTCAAGCTATACAGCGAGCCCGCCGCAGGCGCTGTTTTTTGGGCTTGTTCAGTGAACGTAGTTTGGGTCGCGGGTGGGTCGCGGGCTCTCCACCTCCACCTGGAAGGAATTCGAAAACAGCCCGCCGCAGGCGCCGAAAATTCTGATTTGTACACTGAACGCGGTTTGGGTCGCAGGTTCTCCACCTGGAACAAATGCAAAAGAAGCCCGCAGCAGGCGCCGAAAAAAATTGTGTGGGTCGCGGGGTGGGTCGCGGGCTCTCCACCTCCACCTGGAAAGGAATTCAAAATCAGCCCGCCGCAGGCGCCGAAAATTTAGATTTGTACACTGACCGCGGATTGGGTCGCAGGCGGGTTGGTCGCGGGGTGGGTCGCGGGTGGGTCGCTGGGTGGGTCGCGGGTGGGTCGCGGGTGGGTCGCGGGGTGGGTCGCGGGTGGGTCGCGGGGCGGGTCGCGGGTGGGACGACGACAACAACAAACAACATACAGCAACAAACAACAGCAACAACAACAAGAATCCGCATCGCGGAATTCCATTTCAGCCACGCACCCAGGGACAGTGAATGACCGTTCGGTTCAGCCCCCTCACGTTGATACATATATATATATAGATATGGATATAAGGCCCCGGGATTCCTAAAACACATATCTTGAAACGAATGATCGATCATCACGTCACTAGCACAGACACGCACAAGACACAATCATGTCCGTTTACATGTCCGCGCGGATCATGCGTACAGGCGCACAGACGATGCCACCATTGCGCGCCATCCTTCCAAACATACGCAACCTGCAAACTGACAGAGCATGCAAGACGTCAGAGTCTGAGGTCAGCACGCGCATTGCGTCCTAATATTCCATTGGTGTTTCGCCTCAGTCCGTCAGTCCGTTCATTAACATGCACGAGAAGCGGGCTGGCGAACCAGACAACAACATCACGCTCACATGAGGGAGGACCCTCCTCAAGCAGAATACGAGATGCACCTCAAAACGAGCGAGACAACCCACACCGCAATGGGAGGCGGCCTGAGTCAGATATTCCTGCAGAGCTTCCGGAGTACCTGCCCCAAATCCGAACGCACACGTCAACCGACGATGCTCCGCACCGGCGAGGACACGCAGCGAAACTCAACTGAGAGGAGATCCGCGGTCGCCGCGCTACCGTACGGCAGGGAACGCCACATCCGGCACGCGTGGGGCCTCCCGGCAACGGCGCGCCTCAACAACGAAGAGGTCCCCCGACCCAGACCTAAGACACGGCCCGAAGACGAGAGCCTCCCACCACCCCTGAATTCCGAAGTAGCCCTTTCGGCGGCGAGCGAGGGGGGGGGGAATTGAGAGGGGCGGGCCTTCGCGGAAGGCTCGGACGTCCCCCAGCCTTCTGAGAAGTGTTCCAGGCCTTCCCCGAAGACATCACAAAAGTCGTGAGAAGGCGCGAGGGCTTCTGAGAAGCTCCGCCGCCTTCTGAGAAGGCCTTCTCCTCATTTCCCCCCCTCGCTCGCCGCCAATCCTGATCTCAGCGTCATGACTGTAACTGTCACTCGGCGAACGCTCGCCATCACGGGAAGCGACGGACGGACGGAAAATGGCGAGAGGAGGGCGAAGGCAGCGTGGCGACCAGGGCTCGTGTTGCATCGTGAAGCCCGTTCGCGCAGTCGTGCTGGAAAGCTGGATGGGAGGCCCTGCTGATGCGTGGTGAAACAAGAGAGGGTGGCAAGTGCTTCCCCGATGCCCACCCAGGCGATGGTTGCGAGAACACACGAAGTGCAACGGCCCGCTGTCAAGGTCCAGCTCCTGTCAAGCAAATGTACAACGTGACGCCGATGCGTGTAAGCACCATGTGGATGGTGGCACTTTAGTGGGCTGCACACTACAGAACCAAGTTCACACCAACATCCACAACAGGCCGCAGCTCAAACAATCATGCAACACGTGTCGCATCAACAAAGTGCTGCCCAAGATGCAACAACAGCACGTGCTAACCAGGTGATCCGAATCCGAAACGAGCTAGTTATTGATATGACCCTGCACACTAGCTAGAATGGCTGCACGCACCGATCATCCATGTTGCACTCAACAAATTATGTAACTATTGAAAAGCGCGTGGGACGTTGCACGACCACATCGACGTTGATGGCCATTCGCATCACCAAAACCGCACACCCGAGATCCTCGAAGCGAGGGGGTTCAAGCTCTCCGCAATCGCCTCTCATTTTGGAGTAGCAACTCATTCAAGAAGGTGCTGCCACCCAAGCCCACCGATCGCAGAAAAAAAGAAGCTTCGCCATCAATAACAAGCCTCGAACTTATCCCTATCCCTGAGGTGGGCGAGCAAAAAGCGAGGACACACTTAGGGATTTGCTCTCAGAAATAAAAGGAATCCTTCAGATCGGCATCGAGGAGAGATGATGCCGAACACATGGATAGGGATATGTTTCAAACTGGTAAATAAACCTACACAATCGGAGTCCTCGCAAATTTCTCGGGTCGGCCGGAGCGCGCCGGGGGCGGCGCCACAGGCAAGGCCAGGGGAGGTCCAGCGCTGACCTTCGGAAGCCTGTGTTGATTGAATTTGATGTTCTCGACCCCGGTGTTGGTTCCTGACACCGCGGGGATCGTTCAAACTTGAACGATCGGCACTTTCAAAAAGGCCAAATCGTTCAAGGATGGGCCGATTCTGGGCCACGGGCGGCGTTCAACCTTAAACGCCCGCGCTAGGGTCGCCGCCGGTCGGCACGACGCGAACCTGCCGTATCCATACCCACGACGTCTTGCTTTCCGGGGTGAAGGGAGTGCAAAACGCCCGAGGCCCGATACTTAGTGGATATGGATGAACATCAGGCCTTGCCAGAGGCCAGACCTTCACCCATGTCCACTGCGTTTCGGGAGCCCGCACATCCGAGACGCGGGGGAAGCGAGGGGGGGCAGGCCCTCTTAGAAGGCGGCGGGGCTTCTCAGAAGCCCGAGGAGGAGGAGGAGGAGGAGGAGGAGGAGGAGGGCTCGGAGAGCGTCTTGAAGGCTGGAGGCCTTCTGAGCCTGCCCTCTCCCCTGGGCTCGCCGCCGATGTAAGGATTGACCGCGCTCGAGATTGGGCCTAGGCTTAGGTCGGGCATGTCCGCCTACGGGCGGATTTTGGACGAAGAACAGCATCGGGGGCGCCTAGGAGGGGGGGCGCCCGAAAGGGGGGCTCGCAAATCATGGCCAGAAACACGTGTGTGGAGGAGGGGGGCCACGGGACGTGCTGAAACAAGAAGGGAGGATATGAAATCTGGGGCGGTGCAGTCGGGGCGTCGACCTAAGGAACCCTAGAAAGGAACGAGGCCCCCCTTTGTCCACAGGTTAAACTTCGACTTCCCATCGTCAGGGGGACGTAAGACCTGGGTACAGGGGACTCGGAAATCCCCGACGAGGTCGTCAAAAAAATGACGAGGCCGAGACTGCATTTTGACGAGGCCTCCCGCTGCAGACATCCCACGAAACTCCTCCTCGTCAAAATCCGAATCGCGGTCGTCGAAAAACGATGGCGAGCCCGAGTCCTGGCAAACCCGGGCCTTACGCTCCCCCGACATCGGAGACCGGAGGAGCACCTGAGGAACACCTAAGGCAAGCTGTGAAACACTTCAGGAACATGGAGCCCTAAAAAGGAACGAGGCCCCCCTTTGTCCAAAGGTTAAACTTCGATTTCCCATCGGAGACCGGAGGAACACCTAAGGAACACCTAAGGCAAGCTGTGAAACACTTCAGGAACATGGAGCCCCTCCCCAACGAAAAGGGCTCCTTCTGCAGCGCCCCTGCCGTCAGGAACCTTTGCAGCGCGTGCCGCGAGGGTGGCCCCGGCGACACGCGATGCCTGGCGAGCGGATGGCGTGTCGCTCCGCTCCGCGGGGCGGGGCCCTGGGAGAGGCTCGGGGCGTCGACGCTGGAAGGGGCCCAAGGACACGCAGATAGATACACACAAAGAAAACATATTCCCCATGTTTCCTCATATTTTCTGGGTGTTCGTCTTCTCCCCCCCCACTTTTCCTATTTTCCCATATGTTTTTTTCCTGGGGATTGGCGATTCATTGTGTCTGTGTGTACTGTTTCCTCCTCAACGCTGGGGGACTGGGAAGCGGACGGCGCGTCGCGCCGACGCGCGGTGGGCCAGAGCCGGCGGCGCGACAGGCAGAGCCAGAGTTCACGACCGCACGGACAGAAAAGGGCCCCGGCACCCGGGGGGGGTGCAGACAAAAACCCTGAGAAGGACGCGCGGCAAGGACGCAAGACCCTTGGAAGCCGAAGTTGGGAGTTTTGAGACGGCGGCGCGACAGGCAGAGCACCGGCGGCGCGACAGGCAGAGCCAGAGTTCATGACCGCACGGACAAACGAGGGCCCCGGCACCTGTGGAGGCACTTGAGCAGGGACCGGCCGTCCCGGCATATCGATAGCACTACCACGAAATTTTCTCAGAACCCAAACAATGTTCTACGAACATAAACATTATCCCGGCAAAGCGACCTAACAGCGATGTGTATGAGCATATCTAGAAGCATTCCCCCTTAGATTCATGTAGGATTCCTGTTGTAGAATTCTGGTATACTCGGAGTCGCAATCGCATTCGCAATGGAAGTCGCAGTGGCAACGGCAGCCCCAGCCGCAGTCGCAGTGGCAATGCCAGTAGTTGCAGTAATGCCACTAGCAGTAGCAGTAGAAGTACTAGTAGCAGTAATAGTACAGACGAGGCACTGCTAGCAACTAGCTTATTTATTTCCGAACGAGACACCGCTATCAAAGGATTTTGCTTCGAACGAATCATTGCTTTCGAACGGGGACATCGGGCAAGCAAAATGTGGTACAGGAGTGGTGTTCTGGGAACACGATGAATACGAAGTGGCCTACAGCTGGCTCCGGGCATTCAAAATGTGGCCCGGGAGTAGTATTCTGGGAACACGAAGAACACGAAGTGGCCTACCGTTTGCTCCGGGCATTCAAAATGTGGCCCGGGAATGGTGTTCTGGGAACGCGAAGAACACGAAGTGGCCTAGAGTTGGCTCCGGACATTCAAAATGTGGCCCGGGAATGGTGTTCTGGGAACGCGATGAACACGAAGTGGCCTACAGCTGGCTCCGGGCATTCAAAATGTGGCCCGGGAGTGGTGTTCTGGGAACACGAAGAACACGAAGTGGCCTACCGTTGGCTCCGGGCATTCAAAATCATGCCCAAGAATGGAGTTCTGGGAATTCGAAGACCACGAAGTGCGTTACTGTTTGCTTAAAACGAATTCCCCGGCATCCCCCCAGCATCCTCCCCCGGATCGCGCCCAGACCCTTCTGGGGCGTCATGATGCTCTCTTCTGACCCTACTAGAAACCTATCAGTCTTCGCTGTTAGGTAACCATCTTCTTAGAACATAAACCCGCTGTGATAAAACAAGAACTTGGCGAACACTCATGCCGCGTGCATCTGTCAATGCACCCCCCAATGATCAAGGTTGGCGGTGGGTCGAATGAGCTGCGCTTCGACCGCAGCCTTCTCGGCGCGTGCCAACTGTGAGTTTGGAGGGCAGGGGAGTTTCGCTTCGCTCTGTGGGAACGCCAGTCAGTGCCTGAAGCGCCCCAAACAACACCGCGGGCCGCCACCGCGCGGGCCCGCTCACGTTCCAATTTTAACGGATGATCCCCGAATGGAATCCGAGGGCGGGGGAGTGCCCAATGATCGCTTCCTTCTGCCGTATCATGGCCCCGGCCATTACCTCCCCCATCCCCCCCCCTTGCAATCGCTCGGACGTCCATTCCCCGTGGTGTTTGTTGGGCTCGTGCGTGCTAGTGTTTGTTTGCTTGTTCGCGCGATGATCCAAAATGCTCCTCAAAGGTCATCGCCGAGAAAAAATGCACACGCCCGAGCGACGTCATGTCCCTGGTCCCCACCCCGCTCTTGTCGGGATCCACCAGAAAGGGGGGGTGACCCTGAGGGGGCATGAAATCGATCCGGTGGACCGAACTGCCGCAAACAGATGCCCCCCGCATGCCCCACGCATCGGTATCTCTCGGGAGCTGCCGGCGGCCTGGGGGCATCTGTTTTGGGCGGTTCTGTGCAAAAACCGATCGAACTCACACACACACACAGAGCCCCCCCCACAATTGTAGGAGTCTAAAGGTCTCCTAGATGTGATCCTATTAGATGGGGCCGGAGGATCGCGCCGCATCGGCGATGCATGGGCGATACATCGCCGATGCATCGGCGACGTCGGCGAAGCATCGACGCCATCGACGTGGAGAAAATCGGGCTCCGCATCGAGCCGCATCGCCGATGCATCGGCGATGCGGCGCGATCCTGCGACCCCGTCTGGGAGACTTAGATGGTCCCCGCCCAGCTCCCAGACCCCCGACGTCATGGTTTTTGCATGACGTCGACCCCCAGATGTCTGGATCCATTCCCGGGGACCGGTTTGTCACCCTTAGCCGATGTCTGACGGTCCAAAGGCTTGGTGAGGGCGTCCGACTGACTGACGGACTGACTGAAGCCTAGTATCCGGAAGGACGCGTTGGCGATAGCATCCGAAAGGACGCGTTGGCGAGAAGAGTTGCTCAGTTGGCAACCCTCCAGAAGGACCACTTGGCGAGAAGAATGCTCGCCTGGCCTCCAGAGGCCGAAAATTCGCCGGCCCAACGGGCCAGAGGCGACACCCCTCACGAGGAGCGTGGCCTCCGAGGGGGGAGCCGCAATCGACTACCCCCCCTCGAGGCCCCAAGAGGCCCGCAAAAGCCCCCCGAGAGGCCCTGGGGGCCCCCAAGAAGCCGCAAAGGAACCCCAAGAGACTCCCAAAAGGTCCCCAAGAGACCCCCGAGAGGCCCCCAAGAGGCCCTAAAGAGGGCTCCAGGGCCTGCGGGATGAGCGAAACGATAAATAACGAGAAACCTCCCGCGCCGTGATTTTTCCATAGCTCGAGGGCCGCCCCCCCCGCGCCTCCTCCTCCTCCTCCTCCTCCTCCTCCTCCTCTCCTTCTCCTCCTCCTCCTCCTCCTCCTCCTCCTCCTCCCCCCTCCTCCTCCTCCTCCTCCTCCTCCTCCTCCTCCTCCTCCTGCTCCTGCTCCTGCTCCTGCTCCTGCTCCTCCTCCCTCTTCCTCCTCCTCCTCCTCCTCCTCCTCCTCCTCCTCGCGCTGGCCAGGCTCGAGCAGGTCGCAATGGAGGAGTGGGCCGAGAAACACGAGCTACCTGGAGTTTCACGACCTTTTTTGGAACCAGTACGCGCCCTTCTTCGCCAGAAGGCTGAACGTTTTTGCCCTAGGCGAAGAGGCGCAATCGAGCGCTACCTGTGCGCCGCCTTCTGCACACAAGATGTTCGATGGCGTCGTGGAGAGACAGACATACGAGAATGCCAAGCATGCGGCAATGAGATCGGCACCCAGCAGCACAGGTTCTGCAGGTGCATTGCGCTCGACCAGCAGCGCAGAGATATTGCCGACGACAACGCCGCGATCATTCACAGGGCCACCAGGGCCACGGAGGGAGTGCCACTTTTTGCCCGAAGCATTGTGGACCACCCTGTGGCGGACCCCACCTCTGATTTTCAGATTGAGCGAAATTCAATTCCGAACAGGAGAGCCAGGCCTGCACAGTGGCTTCGCCTTCTCCGACGGATCGGGAGTAGGGCATCCAGGATACAAGAGTTTTGGTGAGGGTTTCTCGTTCGTGAGAGGTCGCCGCTCGTCGTCGAGTTCTCTCAGTGTGGATGCCCTGCTGGAGTGCGATCAGCCCTCTGTGTCCTGCGGTGTGAGCTGCTCGGCTTCGCACACATGCTGCATTTCGCCACTCCCCCGCTCACCGTAGGAATCGATCACGACGCTTTGTTCCGAGGCCTCCGAAGAGGCCGAGCCTGGTGCACCAAAGGAGTTCGCTCGCATGCCGACGTTTGGACTCGGATTTGGAACGTGCTCGATGATAGTTTTCCTGGCCTGGTAGGACTCACTGCCGTGAACATCAAATCGCATTCCTCGCAGCACCTGAATTCGGGTGACCCTGGAGTAATGATGGGCTTGCTTTCCACCACCACCACCATAAGTAGGAGGAAGAGGAGGAGGAGGAGGAGGAGGAGGAGGAGGAGGAGGACCCCCCTCCCCCTCCAACTTATGGTGGTGGTGGTGGAAAACAAGCCCATCAAGTAAGTTTCCTGGCACGTGGAAATAAGGAGGCGGACGACGCGACCTGTGGAGGGGCCGACCTCGCCCCTCGACCTGCAGGCACCAGCATGACCTGCAAGCAACGGTATACAGACGTTCAGGCAGTTTTGGATTTCGTGGCCGATCTTACAGTTAGGACGGGGTCTTTTGCCGACGCTACTACCCCTCCCCCCCCCCCCTGCCAGGAGGAGAGGGAGAGGAGGAGGAGTGTTGGCCCCCAGAAGACCCCGTGTGGCCCTGCAGAGGCCCCACCTGGTTAGATTCTTAAGGCCTGCAATCACCTGCCTCAGACGCGGACGCGAAACCACCGCGAGGAAGGAACGCGCAAGATTCCGTTTCCAGGAGTGCCTGCCGCACGGTGTGCAGGAGGCCAGGAGGCCAAGTCCCCCCTCCTCCTCCTCCGACCTCCTCCTCCACCACTGGCAATCGGAACCTGTTCCGAGGCCATGTACTCTGGAAGACGGGCCCGTTTGTTTTCTGTTATAACTGCGGGAGTTTCTCGTCGCTCACGTTGCAAAGTTTGGCCGGAATCTGGAAGTTCTCACCTGCAGATAAGAATGCTAAGACCCGTAGGAACCGCCTGCGACAGGGCAGGCATCCCAGGGAGAGTGAGCACTATGCAGATCCGAGAGAGCTCAGCACGGAGGAGATCCGAAAGATCGAGGACGACCTGGGACCCCCCGTGCCAGCTCCCGTTACTGCTGCTGCTCCTCCCCTGGCCTAATAATCTTCTCCTGGGGCTGCGTGCGCCTGTCGTTGCTGACCCGCCTCACCGCCCATTCCTCCTCCTCCTCCTCCTCCTCCTCCTCCTCCTCCTCCTCCTCCTCCTCCTCCTCCCTCGAGGAGGAGGAGGACGAGGAGGAGGACGAGGGGGAGGACGAGGAGGACGAGGGAGGAGGAGGAGGAGGAGGAGGAGGAGGAGGCGGAGGAGGAGGAGGAGGATTTCTCCACAGCTCGAGGGGTCCTGGGCCCTCGGGCCGCCCCCCCCCCCGCGCCGGGGGGCGCGGCGGGCGGCCGCTCCTTCAGCTGCGGGCCGCCCTCGCAGGAGTCGCCCACGAAATGCAGGGCGGCGCAGCGCAGGTCGGCCTGCAGGGCCCTGGGGGCGGCGCCGCGGTTGAGCAGGGACCGACCGTCCCGGCATTCCTATAGTCATACCACGAAATGCTCTTAGAACCCAAACATGTCCTAAGAGCAAAAGCACGATTCTTAGAACATACACCCAATGTGCTAAAACAAGACAGACTCCGCCAGAAATGTTCTAAGAACATTTCGTGGAAACCACAAAAGGTTCTTAGACCATTGTTTGGTAGGGCTATAGGCGAGCCAGGACGCTTCGCCACTGCTTGACGCGGAGGCTCCCCCCCGCCTGCAGGGGCATCGTGCAGAGGCCGAAGACGAGGCCAGGACGAGGACAGACTCGGGCGAGGATCTTCGGGGATGGGCAGAACCCCCTTTTAGCAAAGCGTGGTCCAGTGAGAGCGACCTCGGGCCCAAACCTGGCGGGCGCAGGCCCTGAAAATTACGGCCGCGGCGCCCTCTCGAGAACCGAAAGCGGACAATTCACTCATCGAGGTGTCAGGGTGGGGGTCCTGTCCACCCCCGAAGATCCCGCGGCTCCGGAAGATGTCTCGGCCGCGGCGACCCTCGCGGAGCGTTCCAGAACGCTCTGGGAGCGTGCCGGAGCGCTCTGGAAGGGAGCTATCCTCGTACTGGCCCCGGCCATACCAAGGCCTTTGGCCCAAAGAAACTCTCGTCGTGATTATTTCACGACGCGAGCATGTCAGGGCCTGGTGGGTCACACATCGATCCCAAGACCTAGGCCGGGGAGCAAACGCTCAGGTCGGGCGTGCCCCCCTACAGGCGGATTCTGGAGGAAAAATTAGAAATATACCAAACATCTTCAAAAACACAAAAAAGTCGTCCCAAGACTATGTTTTGACTGTGTTTGAATTTTCCTCCTGTCGAGGGACAGGCACGACTTAAGCATACGCGCTGGCCAGAATCTCGAAGCGCATGCAGCCCTGGGGACGAGGGCCCCCCTGGCCATCGCTCGGACGTCCATTCCCTATGTTTTTGTTTGGTTTCGTGCGTGTTTTTTTCGCCAAATGATGAAGGATGCTCCTCGATGGCCCTCGCCGAAGGAAAAATGCACACGTCCGAGCGATGCCAAGCCCCTGGAGGCTCACAGAGTGCCCCCCAGAGTGCGTGCTTCGCCACGACGCGAGCGCGCCTGGGTCCCCTCTCCCCCATTGGGAGGGGCCCCAGGAGGGGCCACAAAGAGGCCTCCTCCTCCTCCTCCTCCTCCACCTCCTCCTCCTCCTCCTCCTAACCTGTGGGACGCTGGAGCGTATACACACCAAATTCCTACACCGAATTTATTGGCTCCCCCGCCGACCAAACGACGTGGTGCATACATCCACCCCCTCCGACCCATGCAGGGCCTCCAGAATGGAAGAAAGGCGGAGCGTCTCTCCCCCCATCCCGTCCTTTCTCCCCCTCCCCTCTCCACGCCTCTCCCCTCCACCTCTCTACCCCTCCCCTCTCCCCTCTCCCCTCCCTCCCCACTTTCCCTCTTTCCTCTTCCCCGCCCCTCCCCCCCCCTCTCTACCCCTCCCCTCTCCCCATCTCCACTCTCCTCCCCACTTTCCCTCCCCTCGCCTCTCCCCGCCTGTCCCCTCCACCTCTCTACCCCTCCCCTCTCCCCTCCCCTCTCCTCCCCACCTTCCCTCCCCTCCCTCTCCCCCCCCGCCCTCTCCACTCCACCTCTCTACCCCTCTCCTCTTCCCTCCCCTCTCCTCACCACTCTCCCTCCCCTCCCCTCTGCCCCCCCCCCCCCTGGGGCCCCTCCAGAGCGAGCGAGAAAAAGGTGCGCCTCAGCCTGCCTCGCAGCGCTCCGGCCATGTCGGAGCGGTAGGGCCCGGAGGCGCCCTGCAGCATGCGTTCGGACAGTGACCAGGAGCCCTGCGGCGGGGGGGGGAGGGAGCGCGGGGGGGGGTGCACGAGGAGGCGAAGCAGGACGAGGAGGAGGGGTCGGATGAGGCGGAGGACGAAAGGAGAAGAGGAATCATAAGGAGTCGAAGGCAACCAAGTGGAATACGAATGATAATATTGATGATGATAATGCTGATGATGATTATGATGATGATGGTGATGCTGGTGGTGATGATGATGATGATGGTGATGAGGAGAAGGAGGAGACGGGGGACGATGAAAAGGGGGACGAGAACAGGGGAGGAAGAGAAACAAGTAGACGAGAAAGGACGATGAGAAGGACGGGGACGGAGACAGCAAGGGGAAGTGGTCAAAGGCATGGCAGGATCTGTGTGCACGGGGTGGGAGTGCTGCTTCTTTCTCGTCGTGATTAGAGGGGAAACCGAAAGGTACCGAAACCGCTACTCCCCGAACCTTCCTCGGGGTGCGCGCTGACCAGAATTTCGAGACGAATCCAGCAGTGCCGACGAGGGCCTCCCAGGAGGCCCAAAAGGGAAAAAACGGGAGAAAGGTAGCGGTATGGGTACCTTTCTCTCCTCTGAATGAATGCCCTCCCCTTTCTTCGTCGTTCGCTTCTGTCTGCGGCGCTCGGAGGTGGTCTTGCGACACTTGCACTCGCGCGCGGGCGCCGCTGGTAGGCGGGAAGGCCGACGAGGCACCTGTCCCGCCCCCCCCCCCGCAGAGCTGGGGCTGGGGAGGAAGGGGTCGGGTGGCAGAGCAGCATCTGGGCGCACTTGGGTACTGTGACAGAAGTGCGCCAGAGCTGGCGCATGACCGCTCCTGGGCTGTCTCCCTTGTCGGAATTCCCGTATAACTATGTATGCGTATTACATGTGTGTACGGACATGCATCAATAGATGAACAACTATATGTTATAGATACACAATTATATATTTATATATATATATATATATATATATATATTCCCCAATCAGAGCTTACTTCTGTAGGGGTCCTAGCGGATATAAAGCTGAGGTGAGGTGAGCGGCCGATTTCGGTGGCCGGGGCCGGGTGCCCGGGTGCCCGGGGGTGCCCGGGTGGCCGATTTCGGTGGCCGTGCCCGGGTGCCTGGGTGCCCGGGTGCCCGGGGGTGCCCGGGTGCCCGGGGGTGCCCGGGTGCCCGGGGGTGCCCGGGGGTGCCCGGGTGCCCGGGGGTGCCCGGGTGCCCGGGGGTGCCCAATAGCCCAATAGCCCAGTAGCCCTATAGCCCTATCGCCGTATAGCCCTGTAGCACTATAGTTTTATATCCCTATAGCCCTAATAGCCTTATATCCCTATAGCCCTATAGCCCCATAGCCCATATAGCTCTATAGCCCCATAGCCCTATAGCCCTATGGCCCTATAGGTCATAGTCCTATAGCCCTATAGCCCGATAGCCCTATAGCCCGATAGCCGTATAGCCCTATAGCCCAATAGCCCTATAGCCTTAACAAAAATCTGATTGGGTCGTTTCTCCGGTATCATAAATACGTATGCGTGTATGTCTAGATAGGTGTACGGGCCAGAAGGGGGGCGCGCCGACACAGCTTCGCGCTAAATGTGGTCTGGGGCGCGCGCTTCCTCACGCTCTGTGTGTGTGTCTCTCTCTCTCTCTCTCTCTCGCTCTCTCTCTTCTTCTCTCTTCTCTCTCTCTCTCTCCCTATGTTTCCCCTTCTCCCCGTGCCACCCTTTTCCGAAGGTCGTTCTAAAACGTTGTGAGACGCGGTGCAGGCACATTCTAGAACACATCTTCCATGTGTTTGAAGATTGAAGAGTGGAGATCTCAGTGGGTCAGGCTCCACATTCTTCAAACAAGCGCTTGGCGACCTGCGTGAAGAATGCGCCTATGTTTGCACATGGGTGATTGAAGATTGAAGATCTCAGCGGGCTTATGCTCCGCATTCTTGAAACTGGCGGTTGCCAATAGAGGTGTCCTCCGCAAGCAGGTCGTCAAGTGACTGTTTGCAAAGTGCTGGGCACATGAGTCCCATGTGATCTTCAATCTTCAAACGTATGGAGGACGTCTTCTAGAACATGTCGAAACAACGTAGCACTTGGCACAAGTAGTCGCGCGGCTGCTGCGATGGCAACGGTTCGGGCCAATCGCGCCGCCGCGGCCATGGACCTCAAGATGCTCCGCAAGCACATCGCGGAGAACGCTTTCTATTGCGCCTCTGCGTTCCTCCACCACGTCCGACGCGGCCTTGCAGCGCTACCAGAAATGCCCAGAGTGTCGCAGCGAGGCGGTCCTGTGCCAAGAGCCTCGCGGCGACTCGCGGAAGTTCGCGGGGTCGCGCAACTCTTGGACAAGAAACAGCTGGAGCGAGGACGTGAGGGCGACGGGTGCCCTCTCATCCGTGCGGCTGAACAGCGACTTTCCTTTCCTGCAGTTCGCCCTCCGGGTGAGCAAGGATTACCACATGATGAACTTATGCGAGGAGATGGAGGGGGCCTGCGGCGTGAGTCATAAAGCAGTTGGCTCGTGGAAGCAAATCAGTCTGCGTTGCGACGCTATGTCGAAGAAGTAGGCGACACCAGGGTCGGCGCCAACGCCGAGGTGGTCGCGGTGGACGAGACCTCCATCTGCCGCGACGATTCCAAGATCAACGGGCCCATCGGCTTCAAGCCGAAGTACCGCACCACGGGCAACCACGAACGAGACCCCACCTTACGAACGCGGAGCCAAGATGGACCCGGTGGAAACGCGTCAAGAAGACGCGGTTGAAGAAGGCCACGGCGAAGACGTGCGCGAAGAAAGCCGCGAAGAAGACGGGGCAGAAGAATACTGTTCGGCACTACAAGAAGATCGCGGGCGCCCAGGACGACAAGCGCATGTCTTGGTGGCTTTGGTAGGGGGCCACATGCGAACCCTACCCTATACCCCCCACGATTTCTGCGAACGAAGTGAACCCCACCCTCCCTCTCAGAAATCGTGGGGGGTAGGGGTAGGGCTCGCCTGTGCCCCCCCATTGAGGGTGAAGGGCACAATGAACCACAGCAAGGGTCCCGGTGATCCTGTCACTGGCGCCCACGCGAACGGCGTCGAGAGCGAGTTCGCGCGCCTCACGCTTTTCCTCCGCAGCAAGTTCGGCTACGTGCGTTCCTCGAACAGCGCCGACGTCGCCCGCAAGAGCGAGGTTCTGCTCCCGAACGTTGCGGAATACGTGTTCTGCACGAGCGTGGGGCGGGGCATGTCTTCCATCATGCCAGCTTTGCGGCATGCAGGAGCGAGCGGGAAGCCGATCGGCCTGCGATCCCGCGGGGGATTGTGGACTTTGTGTGCGGGGGCGGGGGCGCGACTCGTGTGGGCCGTGGAGAAATCGCAAGTAGAGGTCCACGAATTCGCTGCATTGGATTGTCTCTCCCATGGCTCGTGAGCAAAGCAGAACAGAGAAACAACGTCCCTCGTTGGGCCCGTGCGGCCATATCAGAGTGAGGGGGCCGAACGGTCATTCATTGTCCCTGGATGCCGGGTGCGTGGCTGAAGTGAGAAGCCGTGGTGAAGATTCTGCTTGTTGCGTTGAAGACTCACTTCTAGAAAATAATTATTGTGGATCTCCAGAAACGATTCCGGGCACTCTCGCCTCGACGCCGGCTGCACTTTCTCTGAAAACGAGGCTCCCGCTCGAGCGTTGGCTTCACCCTAAAAGTGGGCCCTTGGATGCCCAGTTACGACAACAACGGCTTCCGCTCGATACTTCCTCACAATTTACATCGAGACACCCTGGCCAGAGAGGTCCCCGAACTCAGGAACGGCGCTTTCGCTGGAGACTTCCTCGCAATTAAATCAAGTTGGCGGGAGCCCAGCCACGAGGACAAGGGCTGCTGCTCGATATTCCCTCACGATTTACTCGGAGACTTCCTGGCCAGGACGGCTCCCGAACTCAGGAACGGCGCTCTCGCTCGAGACTTTCTCCTGGTTCAGTCAAATTGGTGGAGGCCCAAATGCGACGACAAGGGCTCTCGTTCGATACTTTCTCAATATGTATTCGCAGAGGCCCTTGCCAGAGAGGCCCCCAAAATCAAGAGTGGCGCTCTCGCTCGAGACGCCCTCGTCATTCAGTCAATTTGGTGTGGGCCAAGCCGCGACGACAACGGCTCTCGTTCGTTACTTCCTCAAGCTGTACTTCGAGAGCCCGTGGCCCGAGACTGCAGCTCAGCAGCGGCGCCGGAGGCCCACCTGCGACGACAGGGGCTCCCGCTCGACACCCCCTTTAATACTCCTACACGACATGGCCGGAGATGGCCCCCAAACCACAAAGGCCCCAGCACGCTGCTCATTGAGGCCTTCGGACACAGCCCACAAAAGCTCCAAGCGCGCCCACAGGAACCCCAGCACGCGGCCCACTGATGCCTTCGGACACAGCCCACAGAGGTCCCAGCGCGCTGCCCACTGAGGCCCCCAACACACAGGTCACTGAGGCCCAGAGTAGCCCACAGGGACCGTAGCATACTGTCCGCAGGCCCTCCAGCACAGCCCACATACGAGCCAAGCGCGCCCAAAGAGGCCCCAAGCGCTGCCCACAAAGGCCCCGAACGCGCCCACAAGAGGGCCCACCGCGCTGCCCCCCGACATAGCCCACAGATGCCCCAGCCCTCAGAGGCCCCAAGCGCGCCCACAACGGCCCCAGCCGACAGAGGACCCAATCGCCCCCACAGAGGCCCCAGCGCGCTGCCCACTGAGGCTCTGGACACAGCCCACAAAGGCCCAAGCCCCCGCCCCAAGCGTGCCCAGGAGGCCACAGCGCGCTGCCCAGGGAGGCCCCCCGTTTCACAGAGGCCCCACGCGCGCCCGCAGATGCCCCAGACCACAGAGGCCCCGAGCGCGCCTACAAGGGCACCCGCGCGCTGCCCACTGCGGCCCTCCGGCACAGCCCACAGAGGCCCCAAGCGCGCCCGCAGAGGCCCCAGCCCGCAGAGGCTCCAAGCGCGCCCAGAGGCCCCCGACGCGCTGCCCAAAGCCCCCC